ATTAATTTAACGGATAATATGTAAATTACTACGATAACAGATTATTTAACATGTTTAAAAATAAGTTATCGCGAATGCTATTAATCACTGATGAACAGTGTTATCGAATTCTATCATCAACAGTGAATAATGTTAGTATGTGTTAGTTACATTGCACTTCTCATGAAAAGATGGACAAGGTGTCAACCCTATGATGATCATGATCATATAACTCGCCTCTTTTACCTGATAACAAATACGTAGTCTTCTAATGTTTTTGTTATCCACTATCCAAATTGTTATGTTTATGTATATATACTATTCTAGAAAGTCAAGTGTGTAATTAGTGAATACTTTGTTGTATTTAATACCATTTTTTATTTATAAGACAACACTTGTTACCTCAGTAGAATACTAATTGTCATACGGAGTTATCGACTAAACAGAATGATATTGTATATATTTGTAGATATCATCAACATCATTAAATGCTGGAGTTGTTCGTATCTTTGCCAGTATAGTTAGAAATCAGAATCAATTTATTAAATCACCTAACAGCTAACGTAGGGGCAATTTCGTAATCTTATAAGAGATAAGGTGAGAGAACTAATTTTTTTATTATTGATGCTATACTTTTAATTTTTTATTTATCTATGGCTATAAGTTTAACTCACCCATATAAATTTTTTATACACATATAAAGGTAATTTGTGTATATATTTATAAGCTTACACACATATTTGGATAAATTTCAACATTTTTAGTGGGTTTTTTATAAAGTTTTAAAGAGGGTATTTTTAAAAAGAGGTATATGAAAAGGGGTATTTTTGAAATTCTCCCATTTTTTATTCATATTGTGATATTTTATTATTTTTTTAATTGATTTTCAAAAAATATTATAATTATTTTCTCTTTAATTATTATCTTTCAATACTCATATTTAGATTAAAAGCATTTGATTCAATTTATGAAATATCATTTTTTTTCTTTTTTATCATGTTATAAACTAATATTTTACTTTCAATTTTTTCCTCTTTATAATTTTATATATACAATTACATAAATGTTGTTTTAGTCTACCATAAATTTAAATTTTACTTCCATTCTAAAACTCAGTAACATATTTAAAATATTAAATTATGATCAATTTAAAATGAAAGTTGAATTATATTATTATCACTAATAAAAAAATTAAAGTATTGTTTTTCTTATTTTAACATTTCATTTTTTTTACATAATTTTTTTTTATTTATATAAACTT